TGGCGGCATCTTTCTGTCTGCCACGCCAACGCAGTGTGCTGTCCGTCTGGGCTGCGAACGGTTACGGTTAACGTTGCAATTCATATAAAAATAATTGTTTGCAAGCGCCACATTCATTATGCGCCCACTCACCCCTTGCCACCTGCTGTCGTTCTGCAACGGCAAATGATATTAAAAATGCAATTTGGCCAAAAATGCGTGCTCCTTGGGCTGCCAGCCAGCGACTTGGCTCAATCACAACGCACTTGGCAATACGCGTTACGCATTTGCAAAATTGCATTTCCAACCGGCTGGCCATGTCCTCTCACTCAACTCAACTCAAGTTGCAATTGCATTGCAATTGCATTTCATGGCCATGGCTTGGCTTGACTGGGCTTGGCTTGGCTTGGCTTGGCAGGACATCGACATTCGCTTCCTGCTTCTGGACAAATTAAACGCTCGCTCGCGCAATAAACATTAATAAAAATCACACAAAAATTGCCATTCGCAAGGTGCAGGCAACAAATGAAAATGGAAATTGCTCATAAACAAGTCCATCAAATAAAGTGCACACAGCTGAAACTGCAAAAGACAATAAAAACGCCAAGAAACAGCGACAAACAAACGAAATAAAAAAAGAAAAAAAAAAAAATACGAACGTTAAGCACGGCCATGCAGAATTATAAATACTCTGTCTGCATACAAATGACGTGCTGAAAATTATAAAAAATATTTAAAATGACTGCTGAATGCTCTTTCTGTTAGTTTGGCTAGGCAGGCATACTCCTTTATCATATTTAATTGAATTTCAAAATATTTTCCATCAGCTCAGCTGAGTCAGCTCGCAGGCTCATTTGGCTTAAGGACTCTCATTAGTGTATAAAATATAGCTATTGGTGACTTTTGGCGTTAAACCGCAGCACAATATTAACAATGACGCATACGTAGCAGCCAGCACACACCCACACATACACACACGCACACAGCGACAGACCACCGCAGACTATCAAATTTTAATACGCCAGCAGCTTGTGCCTTTATTTCATAAATGTTTAATGAAATTAAGCGGCAAGCTTTTTGGGTGAGCTGCCCTCAGCCAGGGTCTGCTCCTGGTTACTGGTCTCGGCTATGTGTGTGTGTGTGTGTGTGCGTGTCTGGCTGCCCGAAAAAAAGAGAGTACTCCGAAATAAATCATAAAGAATAAAATACATAAGTAAGCCAGACAGTTGGCCAACCAGTCAGGCAGCCAACAGGCATTACATTGTTTGCATACCTTTTTAAACGATTTTCAAAGTTATTTCACATCAAAATATAAAACAAAAAATTAAAAAAAAAAAAAAAAAAACACTGAACTTATTTTAATTTTATTTGCTTGCACACTTAACCACAACTAAAATTGCGGCTGCTAAATTATGAAATAAGCGGTTTTTATACGCTTTTGATTTTAATGAGTGCACACAGAGAGAGAGAGAGAGAGAGAGAGAGAGAGATAGAAAGAGAATGAGAGAGCACACACAGACAGATAGCTAAACAAGTATGAATGTTGCAGTTGGGCATTATCGACTGCAGAATACTCATGCACGCTGCTAAATCTAGTTTCTGATATGCCACGCCCCCAATTGGTATATATGTATATAATAATATTTTGGGGCAGATCAGTAGAGGCTGCCAACAATAGTTTGTAGTTGTAAATAAAACTGAACATACAGTTTTAACCGAATTGCCACGCCTCCAACGGAGGCTTACATTCAGTAAGACGGACATTTCACTAAACTAATATACTCCTTTCACTTTCGTAATGGAGTATAAAAAGGTTAACTAAAATAAGCACACCAAACACGAGCTCTGCTTCCGGCCCAAACATGAGTCAAGGCAGGCAACACCCCACCACCCCACCACCCCGAAAAGTATGCAGCAAAAAATGCTGCTCGTTTGCAGCGCAACCGAATTAGGGCTGGGGCGCAAGTTGGGCAGACGACATGCCGCATGCCGTATATGCGAAATCAAAAGTTGTTTATGACTCAATTTGTAGTTTCTGAACATGAATTATTGCAGCTGCGCGCCCAAAAGAGAATAAAAAAATAAACACCAAAAAACAGCAATGATATAAATGTATTCGTATTCATATTCGTATATAGCATACATGTGTGTGTGTGTTCCGTACAACACGAAAAAAGTACTGAAAAATTTGGCTGAAAACTAATTTTGCAAAGAGGAAATTAAATATGGCAAAGTTTGACATATGACAGATTTGTTGCAGTTGTTGCTTTTGCCTTTGTCATGATTTTATTTATACGTCCGTCTGTTCGCTTGTCTGCCTGTCTGTCCGGCTGTCTCTCCGTCCGCCTGTCTGTAGCTGTGGAAGCTGACTCGGCTGACTCGAAGCTGGCAACTGGCAACTGGCAAATGCAAATTCTCAATTTTCAATTTTGCTGCCAACGTCTATTCAGCTATTTATTTGCAGCAAAAAGCGTATTTCATTTCAATCCATTTGCTTTCAGTTTCTTCGCAGTGGCAGTCGCAAAACTTTCGCACTGAGCCACTTAATTTAGTCAATAAGATGCAAATGATCCCAGCGCTTCACTAATTAGAAATGCAGCCATGTCCAAAGCCACTCTCGGCCTCTCTCCCGCTCTCTTGCTCTCCCGCTCTCTCGCTCTCTCAGTTCGTTAGTTTGCCTTGTTTGCAGCATGGCAAATGCTGCGGTGCCTTAAAACTATGCATAATCCACTGTGAATATCCGTTGACAGCAACAACAACAACAACTATGTCAACTCGACACTGATGAGCTCCACAGCATTTTCTTTCATTTCCATCTTGTTTTCGCACAGAGGCGTAGCTTAAGCTAGACAATTTTGATTTCACTTTCAGTTGAGCTTGAAGATTTTTTTCTTTTTTTTGTGAATAGTTTATTGATGTTCGATATATAATATTTAGAAGTGTTTCATTTGATAATTTTTATCTATAAAATACAAATTCAACTTGCGTTTTATGATTAATTTGACAATGTAGTATAGTATAATATATACCTATTTAAAAAAAAAAACAAATATAATCAACCACAATTAAAACAAAATTGATGAAAAATAGTAAATTAAACTGAGCAAATATTTTCAAAATTTTATAATTATAATTTATAAATAGTAAAATGACTTCTTTATATTAAATAGTAAAAACATATCATTAGTTATATTAAATACATATTGTCTACACATAATACATTAAATATATTTTATTTATTAATCTTTATTTACTTATATATACATATATAGTGCAAATATGTAAGTTTTTAATGCATAAAAACATTTTTTTAATATAAAAATAGAAACATTAAGTTTACATATAAACAATTTATATGTACAATAAAATGCAACATACAAAATATCAAATAAAATATAAAAAATTTAAGCTACTAAAAATTTTTGGTCAGCAAATAAAATGATTTTGCTCACATAGCATAATCCTGAGTATTTAGCTAGTTTATAGCCAAGCTCTCTGCCTCCCCGCTGTCTGCGCTGCTGTGTGCCTGTGTAGTGCATATGTATGTCTGTCTGTATGTGTGTGTATATGTATCTTCTGGCTTTCTCCGAGTGCCATATGCAGTCATGCCGTGCATGAAATGATGTGCACATTCTTCATCATCAAGTGCGCAGTTTGTACGTTTATCATTTGAGCTGCGGTTACTTTTCAGCTGCTGCTGCTCCTGCTGCCCACATCTTCATTTTGGTTTGGGTTCTTGGTTACGTGGCTTGGGTTAAGGTTTCGATTTCAAGCAGCGCCACAATGACGACTCTGACGCTGTTGACACACTCGCTGACAAATAGCCAGCAGAGGAAGAGACAGGGACAGATATATATATATATATATATATATATATATATATATATATATATATAGAAAGAGAGAGCGAGAGAGTGCATATAATTGGATAAGAAGCGCACTGGCATAAAGGCTTACATTTTCCTGCGCTGTGTCGCTCAATTGGAAAATTCAATCAAATTAGCGCCAATATATGAAATTTATATATTTAAACACCAAAAACTCCCAACTATGGGTGCATATGCAGCTGGCTGCCTGACTGCATAGCTACATGGCGGCACTGACATTGGCAATGTAAGAGGGGAGCAGCAGCAGCAGCAGGAGCCGGAGTAGAGCCATTGCCACATGTTTCATGGCTGACTACTTATCGCTTAATCACATCAGAGCATCGACCAGTGTGTTGGGCCATAAAACATTTAGCAACATGAAATCGTTACTTTTGCCCGAACATCAAAGCCAATCAAAATGGCATTTCAATAATATCAGAGCACTACAATCGCATCAACGCAGCTGTGGGGGGGAGGGAGCAACAGCAACAGCAGCAGCAGCAGGAGAAGGCGGAAAACTCATACAGCCAGCAAATGTTGTAATGTGGCACGCATTTCGATGGGGGGCGGGGTGGGGCGATGGCACATAAACGATTTGTTCGCAAATATCATGAGCATGAGCTCACTCCCACACAGCTGACAGACAAACCGAAAATACACACACACACACACATACACACATATACACGCCATGTTGGGGGTGTTGTGTGGCAATTGTGTCAAACGAGACTTTCGCTTTTCAACAAATGTGTCCTTGGCCAAGCATTACAAGATGTCACATACATGCACGTGTATGTGTGTGTGTGTGTGTTAGTCATAAAGATATTGACATGAACATAAAGATTGGCAAAGGAAGAAATTATCTAATTTAATGTTACATTTTTTTAGATTTATTTTTATTTATTTTATTTTTGCTTTGCATGCATCATGACTGATAATTTTTTTTTTATTTTATTATTATTAACCTTAACTGTAATCTAAGCCAATGCTCGTCTCACGGGTTGCCTTATGTTATCTTACATTTCTAATTTAATATTATTTATTTTCATTTAATTTTTATTTTCCCTTTTTTTATTTTTAATTTTTTTTTTTATTATTTATTTTTATATTTTTTTTTTTACTGTTTTTTTGCATGCATCATAACTGGTAATTTTTTTTCTTTTTCTTTTACTAAATGCTGTCAAATGCTTCTACTGCTGCTCTCTACTCCTGTGCCTCTCTTTCTCTTTTCTCACGGGCTGCCTTATCGCATTCACAGCCCGAATCTTGTTCTGGAACCGGTTGTTCCGATGGCTGCGGGCATCCAATCTCGTCGGCCAGTGGAAATATTTTGTTCACCGAAACGGGATTTGGCTGGGATGCGCCGCACATACAATCATCTTCATCGCCACAATCTGAATTGCCGTCTTCGCCCTCTTTTGCATTGAGATCCTTGGAGGCGCACGGACACATGCCCTTGATTTCCTCCTGTTCGGATGGACTTAACTCCAATTTACAATTGTCATCGTTCATTTCAATCCTAATCGGCTGGGGTTCATTGGCGCACGCCTGCTCTTCGAGGGCTCTCGCTCGGCACGCCTCACAATATGAGCAGATGTCGGTCAACTGGCCCTGGGATTGAGCTATCTGTCTCTGCTGACCTTGCTGGTATTGCTGCTGCTGCTGCTGCGGCTGCTGGTATTGCTGTGGCTTCTGTCCCTGCTGGGGCTGAGCCGTCGAGCAAGCCGATGGACCGCCTAGGCCACCTTGAGCAGTTCGCATACTTCGCGCAGTCTGAGGAGGCTGACCGCCCTGAGCCCCACCTTGTCCACCTTGACCACAGGGACCACCCTGAGCACCTTGGCCAGATCGAGCCGCTTGACCACATTCTGTACAGAGCTGATCAGAAGCATATTGCTGAGCAGGAGGAGCAGAGCAAGGTGGGGACTGAGCTGCTGGAGGTTGAGCATCCTGATAGCATGATGTACACTGTGGGTCAGCAGAATATCGCCTATTGCCCGGCTTAAGATCACCATCATCCGATCCACACATTCCGCAATTGCCACTCTGATTGTAGTTTGCTACATTTGGAGAATCGTCGGGGCCACATGGACAATGGACGTCGTCGGCAAATGGTCTAGGCTGTTGTTGGCCACTTCTTTGATCGTAGGGATTTTGTTGGGATGGGGGCACTTGGCCAGTCTCACTTGTGGCAAAGCTAGCGATATCTTGAACCATCATTGCCGCGCCGCAGCACATCTGACACTCATCGTATTGCATATTCTGTTCGCCACACATCTTGGCGTACTCATCGGCATCTGCTGCCGCCTTCTTTTCCAAGTACGCATCGCTCGTTATGGGACAGTCCTGCAGGGCCGATGCCATATTATCGCTGCCGCCGTTGCAGTCGGCGTCAGCGTCGCCGTTGCCGCTGTTTGAAGTCAATTGGCAGCCGTACCTGACCAGCAGTTCGATCAGAACTCCGTTTGTCCAGCCATAGCCGGTATGGTTCTGTCCATCCGGACTGCCAACGCCCAAACCGGATTCCTCGCAATTGTACTGCAGGAGTAGGGGTTAAAACGGTTAGATTGCTAGACGACCCACACAACGATCAGCTTACCTTTTCGAACATGAAATTCGTCTTGGTGTAGGCCTCGTAGTTGGAGAGGACCCAGCGCTGTGTCCAACGGCACGCCATATCGGTCGCCTCGGGCGTGCCCAGATTGTTGAGGCCGTCGATCAGCATTAGCATCATGGGCGGATAGACGTTCGGATAGTCCCACAACTGGCCAGTGTTGCACAACGTATGCGGCACACCGCCCGGATAACAGTCCAGCTTATTCTCCTCAATGTAGCACATTACAGACTTGGAGATCTTTTCGGTATCAGCTATGGGATAGGCGTGCAGCCAGAGCGGCGATAGGTTCGTCACGGCGAAGTAGTCACGCTGCTTTCTATTCTTTATATCATAGTCCAGCCAGACGCCGCGCTCCTCATTCCACAGCACCGCCGTGATGGCCTTGATCAGGCCGCAGGCGGTGGTCCGATATTGCTTCGCCTTGTCGGCACAGCCCGCCAGGGTAAAGAACTCGCCAAGCGTTTTACAATTGCGGAATAGAATGCAGTTCAGCTCGACGGGCACTATCCAGTTGGTCTTGATGTTGGCCATGGTGCCCACGTTGTTGCCACTGGAGGAGATGAACCAGCGCGAGCTGAAGGCCTGGCCGGACTCGCAGGCAGCCTTTATGTGCGAGTAGGCGTCCTCCTTTTCCTCGGCAGAGTTGAAGCTAGCGGCTACCGCCTCATCCTCACGGTACGCCTCGGGTCGTGGCCCCGACGACTTGTCGCGATATTGATACATGGTGCGACCCTCGACCTGAACCGAGTGCTCCTGCAGGAAGGTCTCCATCTCCAATTCGAGCGCCGGCAGATTCTGGATGGCGTATTGCTCGTCCTTGGTAAACTCCACGTAGGACTTGACCATCGGCACCAGCAGCGGGGGCTGGGAGCGTCCCCAGTAGTAGACACGATTGCTGCCGGGCACCATCTGGAATTGCTTCACCAGATACAACAGATTATCAATCATGCCGCGCGCCGTCTGGAACATGCCGCTGTACAACAATCCGCGCACAATCCAATAGGTGTCCCAGTAGTAGAACTCAATAAATCGGCCGCTCGGCACAATGAACGGATTCGGCACATAGATAAGCGAGTACATGCCCGGACTGGTCCTCACGCAGTCCTTCATGGTGCGTCCGAGCTGCTTCCAAATGCGATTCAGGTCCATGGCAAACTTCTTCAGGGCCGGGTCATTGATCTTCTCAACGAATTTCGGCTCACAGCGATAATCTGGCGGACACCAATACTCCAGCTCAGTGCCGGGCTGATCGAAGTGATTGTCCACGAAATTGGTGAGATGCTTCACCGACGACTCGTTCTTCTTGCACGAGCTAAACAGCTGGTAGTCGGCAAGGATACGCTCTGGGGAGTATCGACAGGTCATGTCGACAAAGTACTTGCTATCCCTATACAAATTGGACATCTGCACCGCTCGCAACAGTGGTCCACCACAATAGACGGCACTGCACACGCATATTTATATTTATTTATTTATGCATTTTTTTATATATCTATTTTTTTTATGGACTACAATTGGCAGTTCTTCAATTGGTACTCACCCATTGGCACCGGCGACGTGCGTTTGCCCACATTCATTGCATTTGCGAGCATTCGGCATTTTGAGAAATTAATTTTGTGTGTGTGTGTGGAGCCTGCGAAGCGAAATGACAAACTGTTTTAACCCTACTACGGCCTAGCTTACAGCATGAGGCAACTAAAATAACAATACTAATGTTTTGATATATATTGCAAAGACTTGTAGGCTTGCTAGAGTCGAAACGCTCGCTAGGATTTTCTATAAATCAAAAGTCAGGCATGGCATAACATCCATTATATTGACCATTAAAACAAATTTGTCGACATTTGCCATTAAGAGTCAACAATGCTCCCCGCCATAAATCAGCGTAAATAGACAGGAAGCGCCTTAAAATCTGCTACACAAATGTGCCCCAGTCCCCCCTGGTCCCTGCCTGCTGCCTCCTGCCCTATACACATTTATTCGAAATTACCATAAATGTTTTGGTTCACAAAACCATCGTCCAGCTACCCTCCCGCCGGCGCTAAAGGCGTTTGCCTAAAAGCTATTGGCCTCTTGTCCATTTGTAATTTCCAGACAATTTATCAAACATGCCGACTGCCAGGCGAAAGGCAAAACGCAAGAGAAAGACAGAAACGAACAGAGAAACAGAGAGAGGGGAAAACACACAGAATTGAAATGGCGCAGAAAATGCGCTTCAAGTGGCCTCAGCGTCTCAGAGTCCTGGGAAAACGAGAGGAAAACTCGATTTCAGAGCCGATGCCATGGCAAGAAATCGACGACCAATGGACAATTGAAATCAGACGCGCTCCACTTCATAAATTTCTACCAAATGCAACGATTTTCGAAGGTAGCCCCACCTTCGTCCAGCAAAAAACTTTCACTTGCCCACCCCCCGCCTCCCTCACCCAGCAAAGCCAAAGAGCATTCAAATTAGGCATGTCCGGCATTCGAGTTGTCTGCAAAGTTTCTTAGTAAAATAAAAATTCAATTTGATTTTCACGTTCTACGTCTTCTCCTACTTCTTCTTCTTCTTTTGCGACTTTAACATTCGAGGCTGGTGTTTGCGCGAGATAAGGCTGAAAGGCTCGTCGACTGCGCCGGCCATTTGCTCGATGCCAATAAAATGCAGTGTATAATTAATGCACAGGCTTCAAAAGTGAGCAATGCAGGCAGCTCATTTACACACGCACATACACTGAGAGAAATGCAGTAATAAGTGTGGCAGAGTCTTAGATAAGACTATAATTATAATTATAATTAATGCACGGGCTTAAAAATTGTGCAATGCAAGCACTAACACACGCATTTACACTGAGAGAAAATATGAGTCTTAAAATGATTTATATTATCGAAAAAAGAAGATGCAAAAGTAAGTAAAGTAGTTGGATTAATGAGGCTTAACCTCAGAAGTCTGAGATTTCTAATGCCTAGACAGCAGTCCAAATGGCCTATGAGATCTGGCTAAAGATCCATTGGTCAAACTGGGAAGTAAATTCAACTGAGCCGATGCTTCTGATTATCCTATTCATATCCATATGAAGCTGAATTAAGATCTAAGAAGCTTTTTCTTGAGATAGCTATAAGCAAAAAGAGTTTGCAAAGGCAAATCCTATGGAGCTTTGGGGTAATTCCTGCATACATAGTATGTATAAAAATAATAATAATGTATATCATTTCCACAGAGCATAATAGTTCAGTTATCAATTATTTATCAATTATTTATCAGTTTAACTATGGACTTTTATATAAAACAGTGCAAGGCTTCAAATTCTTCCGTTTAAATAATTAACTTAAATATACTTGCAATTTTGCCTAGTATTTTTGGCCAGTGTAACCATTCAGTGGACTGCATGTTGACACTTGGCGCGAGGCATTGATCAACTTAACGAGCCGCAGCAGCAACAGCAGGAGCAGCAGGAGCAGCGAGTCAGAGTCAGTCAGCGACTGCAGCTAATTGAGTATTCTACTTTTAAGTGGCGCCTCGGAACTGCAGCAGTCAGTTGCAAGCGACACACTTCAGCTGCGTGTTGCTTGTGGCTGTGGCAGCCAGTCTACATGTGTGTGTGTGTGTGTGTGGTCACTTGGGCCGTGCAAAAGCATGCATTAATCAATAAGTTGCCATAAATTAATTAAAAATAAAAAATGTAAGAAATTAAAATTAAAAGTAAAAATAAAATTAAATGAAGCGAGCGCATCTCGAGCTGATCTGCTCGACTCAGCGACTCGCATGCGTCTCTATTGGCTTTAAGCAAGAGCTATCAATCAAAAAACTGCAGCTGCCTTAGGGTCGGAATCTCGGACTGAATCACGTAACGCCATGCCAGGGCGCATGATAAATTGTCAACACGCTGACGTTTGTCTGCAGCGATTTAAAAACTACTTAAAATGTAAATGTTGTTTCGCAGTTGTGCGTTGTTGTTGTTGTGTGGGTGAGTGGTTGGGTGGTTGGGTTGGTTCGCTGGGCTGCTTGGCTTTTATGCACACGTCGCAGCGCAGACTGCGAAAAATCATGTTGTTGACTTTGAAAAAAATATGTGTGCAAAAAATGCGCTATTGTAAATAACGGCACATAAACACGCAGACCGACTGCCTGACACTGAGACTTCCAGCTGACTGAGAGACGGAGAGATTGACGCAGTGAGAGACTGCCTGACTGACTGAGAGACTGATGACAGGGCATTGTCAACAGTCAGCAGTATGGCAGCAACAATCGACACACACACACACACACACACACACACGTACGTAGTCTGCTGCGAACTACTATGCCTGTGTGTGTGTGTGTGTGCTACGGCTTTTTTTTGTTGTTAACAAATACATTACATTTGAAGTGTTAAGCTTGCACTTGGCATTCACTCAGTTTGCTGTTTGTCTCAGCACTTGGCAGGACTCACCTGTCATGTATGCATCTATATATATATATATGTATATATATATGTATGTTTCAAGCAGACTTTGATATCCACTTGTGAGCTACACTATAGTTACTGACATTTTAAGCTACACAACGAAAATCCCAAGAATAGCTCAAATATTTAAAAGGCTTTTGCAAAAAAAAAAAAAAAAAAAAAAAAAAAAATTAAACTTGTGCAAATATAAATATATCTATCTCTATAGATCTCTATAATATCACTAACATATTTTAGCCTCAATCAGATTAGTATAATGCAGTAGCATCTACAAATTATAAAACTTGAGTTTATAATATAAAGATGAATTTTTTTCATTTTTAATATTATTACTATTTTTGTTTTAAGATAAATATGATTTTTTTAAAATATATATTAATTTTTTTATAATATAAACATTTATATTTACATTTACAAATATATATAAAAAATTTATTAAAACATGTCAAACAATTTTTGCTTCTTTTAATATAAAAACTACCAATTTTGTTTAGCACAAATTTATTTTAACTTGGCAGAAAGCTTTATAGCATTATTTATATTTTACATGATTTATATTTTACATTCCAAAATATAGAATTTTAAATAAAATAAAGATGTCTTTGATAAATTAGTCAAATGTAATGCTAAATTTTTGTTGAAAGCAAAAAAATATATATTTAAAAATGTTTATAAAATAAAATGTGCAATATTAATATAAAAAACTCATTGAAAAAATTTAATTTTAAGCATTCTATATCTTTAATATATATGTATATCTTTTGGTACGACTTCATCTGATTCTTTTTTCTGTAAGGATAGTAAGAGCATTATTTGCAGATTTTATTTGTATACCCAGAACCCATTGAAAATGGGAAATCAGGGTATAACGGTTTTCTTAAAAGTATGTAACAGGCAGAAAGAGGTGTGGCAGACCCCACAGGACGACAAGCTGAACCGATTTAGCCCTGTTCGTCCGTCCGTATGTATGCACACGTCGATTACACTGACCTCTCAAGCTCACTACTCCTCGAATGTGTGTGTATGTGTATGTATGTGTGCATTAAAGAAGTGCACAATGATTCGAATATTAGCTTGGAGGGTTCAGGGTATCTCCTAGTCGAGCAGTCTCGACTAGAGCTTTCTTATGTGTTTCATTTATCTAGTTATTAAAAATATAAATGAATCAAGCGAAGATGCATCGAGCTGTCAACTGAGCGACGTCATATGCGATGTCGGACCAGTGTCATGTTTATGGGCAAGTAAATTAGTTCATAAACTGAAAGAGTCGGCGTCTGTAACAAGTTGGAACTAATCGCACAAAGTTACACACACAAATTGCACTGGGCCTCGGCTGGTGGTTTAGTGAGCTATAAATTCGGCTGTCAAAATACTTGACAATTGATTAATTGAAATTGACTTTGAAAGTTGGACGATAAGCAGCCAGCGCACACATACTCCATACTCCCTACTCCCTACTCCATACTCTATTGCCAAGGGAAGTGGCCTGTCAATCAGGCCGAAACCAAATTGGCACACACACACACACACACACACACACACACACACACACACACACACACACACGTACAGGCACATGCAGCACACACGCATTGTGCGGTCATTTGTTGATGAGCTAAACTTTGACCAAGACGACGCCGAGCTTCATCAAACAAAGTGGAGAGAGGACGGGGGAGAGTGAGAGAGATTAGAGGTCGGGGCACAGACGTCGAAATTAACCGAGAGACTAGTTAAACAGAAAAGTTTCGCCCAACCAGATATAGACAGAGGCAATCGGCAAATGTATCTGATGTTCTTGTTGTTGTTGTTCTTGCTCATATCAAGTTGACAACTTAAATTGTTAGTGCTGGCCCGATAAGCGGCTGGCTAAGGGTTGCCCTTGCCCCCAACGACCTCGACCTCGCCCTAGCCCTTGCCCGGCTGCAGGGGCGTGTATAACATTTTTATTTATTTCACTATTTTTTATGTGATCCGCAGCGGGGCTGGGACACGCGCCACATGCCAAACGACAAACAAATAAATAAAAATCCAGTTTGAGGCTGCAACCAGAGCCGAGTCGAGTCGAGTCGAGTCTGAGCTGAGCCCAGTCGGAGTTTCGGGGGTCAGCGTGTGTGGTGGAGCGTGTGTTTTACAAGTCTATTAACTTGAAGCGCTTATCTAATGCTGACAGCAAGTTTTTCACTTTGCCAAAGTTTTGCTAGCCACCCACACACACACGCACACACACACACACGCAGACGAACGCAACTTCCGCTGCTGCTGCTGCGTTTCCGCTGCGG